GAGGCAAGAAGTCACATGACATCAAGATCATGCTGAGTTGACACGCGATTCGCGCGCCATAATCAGTGCCAGTTGTCTTCGAGGAAGACAGAGCGATCTTGCACGTTTTCATCGGCTAAAGGAAGGCCAAAGAAGGCGAAAAACACTTTCGACAAAGAGTGGTCCGCTAAATTAGCGGAAAGCGGCAAAGGGTTCGTTTTACAATCAAGAAAAATTGCTGGATGAACTCGACAATGATCGCGATCACGAAGCCAGTGAGCAAGCCGAAATGAGCGCAAGCCGCGCTAAAATACTGTTGCAAGAAACTGTCGAAAATTTTATTAATTTAAGCAATTGGAAAGAAGAAGCCTGAAAAAATCAAGGCTTCAACGGGATTCGAGCCCGTGACCTCCGCAATACCGGTGCGATGTTCTTCCAACTGAGCTCAGTATGAAGCCACACATTAGGAGCGAGGTCAATTAATTGAGTTCATATCTTATTATTTCATATATACTTCACATCAAAATTTAAATTGTCGTCACATAACGTAGTCAATGAACCGTCGGTTGCTTGGTGCGCTGGCGTGCCAAAATACTCACGGCGAGACCGAACGAGCCCTGTTAGCCGTCGAGGCATACTGAAAAGGTACGATCGAAACTACAGTGAGCACCCGCATACAAAAACAAATAGATTAAGAACATCAGGCTGAAATTTGGCCCATAAAAAACCATAAATATAAGAACCACTTCAGCAAATAAAACATGTTCTGATATAATAAGGGAGAGGGTGTCGGAATAAGAAAGCAATGTAACTATGGTTACTGCTAGACAATGGTGGCCCGGTTGAGTTAGTATGGTTGTAAGTAATATTTAAAAAATGTTAAAACTGTAATTGTAAAGATTCTTGAGGTTGCCCTTACTCAAATCATAAACAACTACAGGGGTAGCGCGGTGCGAGATATTCGAACTCCACTTGGTAGATTCAACTTGAAAGAGCGGTAACTTGGATCCTCTGATCGTAGCACGGTAGCGGTGTAACTTCACTAACAATCTCTGACTAAAAGAAGTTGCGCGTCGTCTTTTATTGCCTATGCTACGTGAAAAAACTAGAGCGTTGTGAGAAACGTGGCGCCCACAATAAAGACAACTTCCTAGCGGCAAAATTTCTAGAACATTTACATACGTGTGAAAATCACCATTTTATGAAAGCTTTGATTTTGAAATCACGTACTTGGCTTGAATAATAACTGATAATAAATCAGTAGGAAGTTGCATAGGANCAGCGGAAAATTTTCTAGAACAATTACATACGTGTGAAAATCACGATTTTATGAAAGCTTTGATTTTGAAATCACGTACTTGGCTTGAATAATAACTGATAATAAATCCGTAGGAAGTTGCAGAGGAAATTGATATACGATCGGCGTTTAAAAAATAACATTTACCACCGAATGATAACTTTGACATCAATCTCAGTAGTCCAGTCCTAACGACTGGGGTATGTAACCACGAAAATGGTGAAATAATTTTGCCATAAAAGTAGAGCGTTTCACTAAGGCCTAAAGGCGGAGAATATTCCAACATGCGAATTTCATCATTTCGCCGGGATTTTACAATCTATAGATCCTTCCACAGCATGCAGACGCCTAGGGATCGACCTTCAAAAACATTTTTCAGTACAAAGGAGCCAAGCCAAATCGTACTAGTAAAAGGTCGTAATTACAGAGTTGTCAAACTCTATTTGAAAACCATGAGAACATTTGCTGGAGCATGTCTAAAAACTCATCCTAAAAATGCGCCACAGTAAATGGTGCCCTTTAGTGTGAAGCAAAAAAGGCAACAGAATTAAAAAAAAAAAAAAAAAAAGAAACATTTAGTGTAGAAAAGTAACAAATTGCAGGAGCCGTGTATAGATGTTGTTAGATCGTTCACCCCTAAGGCTTCAAGCCAGGAAAATGGGCGGTCATGTGGACGGAAAGACCTTTTGTTGACAAGCCTAGAGGTGTTCTTTCGCCTTCCCACGCAGTGCTTGTCCCTTATAGAGTGTTTTCACGTGATGCAATCAATTCTAAAATCCACCAAAGTTTTTATCCTCATAAGGCATGACAAGTGCTAAACTGATATCTTTTTACTTCATTTTGATGAAAAGAAAAATGGCTGTGCCGTGCTCTGCAAAACAACAACGTGTAATGTTCAAATTCTGCGTTGACTGGAGAACGTGAACCACGACGGCTAAGTTTTCAAATTTCTCTTTCAAATTTATCGCTGTGTCCCATATTCAGTATCGTGATACTTGAGAGTATCGCGAGATTCGTAGGTAATCACAAAATCATGATTTAATCCACGTTGTCCTCGGCGTCGCCGTCGTGGTTACTTAAACTCCCTATCGAGAGAGTGCAGAGAAACGTTTAGAGTTTTTTAAAGTAAAAGGGCGACTTGTTTTTGCATGCGAGGTTCTCAAATATAGTGCCTCAAATGGTCATCTTTACTGAATTTCGTTATTTGCATCTTTTTTCCCTGAAATGGAGCGATATTTAAGCAAAGCAACTATCTAGCGATTTAAGTTATACCCTCGGGACCCCACTTGACGTTTACTTCCGTCTGAAATTTTCTCCTTTTTCTAAGCAGCTAGAGATCTTTTTCATCTGAGGTGGCGGGTGCTCAATAGTTGTTAAGTTAAGTCTTTTTATCTTCGAGGCTTCGTCCAGACTCAATCATCAAATTATGTTCATTATATAAGTTGCTTGTTGATTCTCCACAGAAATTCGTAAGTGACATTACTAGATACAGAGATACAACTACACTAGCATAAAGATCGTACAATTATAGCATTTATGTCCCTTGTATGAGTAAAATGGTCATTAAAAGAAACAGTGTACTTACCTCCACAACCCAGCACCAGGCTAATACATCTACATGTAGTCTCTAACAAAGCAACTGCCACCACCAAGGCCCCTGCATGTGATAAAGCAAATTATTACACATTGAACTCACTACATCTTTTCAGATTGGCCGAAAGCGTACAGTGAATTTTACAAATCAGCACCTGTGATGTCATCTAGCTGATGATTATACAATAATCATGTCAAGGTCACTCAAGGTCACGGTTAATCATGTCATGAATGACAGTGGTGCATGATTTCTAAGGGTAATTATGTCACGTACGCGCGCTTTGTTGTGCTTTCCGTCAGTGAAGAAGCAAAAACATGACTTCATTTTTTTTTTTTTTTTTTTCATTCACTGTATAATAAAACAATTTTTAGCTTCGCTTTTTGTGATATCCAGAATAATTAAAGTATATCCCGCTTTTCAGTTTCCTTGAGTGCAAACCTGAAGAATCGTTTTCGAGCAAAGCAAGAAATGCTACCTTCATTTATATATGCGCAAAGCTTTAAGAATCAGATAAAAATGTGGTTAGCTGTGAATGTGGTCTGTGAAGGGGTTGCACCTCTTGTACACAAATCCGCTGGATTCTCCTCAGTAGAGGCATGCTGCCACTGTGACGGTTCGGTTAACATCTGTATTTCACCAATTCGGTTCGCTACAAAGGGTTGGAAGTCTTTGCCACGCCCTCGAATTCACCATAGGACATTTGTACTTTCAAAATAAAACGTCACGCTCTGCATTGGTACTTCCGGTACCGTCAACAAGGACTGTGCTGAGCGCAGGCCAAGAATCGCGCCCATGAGTTTCAGAGGATGTACGCTGATGACACCCACCTTACATATGCAGGTGATAATGCTGACAATATTTAGTTGCGCCTAGATCAAGATTTAGAAAATGTTCACAATTGGCTGAGAGCAAACAAACTCACTCTAAATATGACTAAAACCGAATTCATGCTTATCGGATCTAGGCAGAGACTAAGTACTCTCACAGAGTCCCCGAGATTTGCAATTAATGATTTTCAAGTTAGCCAGGTCACTACCGCAANGTTTCCTTGAGTGCAAACCTGAAGAATCGTTTTCGAGCAAAGCAAGAAATGCTACCTTCATTTATATACAATATAAATTAATTCGCAAAGTTTTAAGAATCAGATAAAAATGTGGTTAGCTTCATCTTTCAGTAAACTGTCTATGATTGAGAGAACATCCCTTTTGTTACCATTACGTTTTGTGTCTTTGAGGTTGTAAAACTCTAATAATCCAATAATTTTTTAAAGAATTATCCTTTAAGAAAATGTTTCTTCCCCACGCTTGCTGTGTCAAAACGGATGTCATAGGGAAGAAGAGTCAACTACTCAAAGTTTATGAAAGCTAGAGGCAAAATTTTACAATGTAGATCACACTAATCATGATTTTATTTAGTCCCTGCATTTAGAAGTTCGTTTAAAGAGCTCTTTGATTGAGGTTACCCTATAGCTACACGCGGGTGTCCTTAACGTGGGTGTTTAAGTACAGTCAACCACCATAAACCTGAAGAAGATCAAGGTAAGAGAGTGAATCCCCCATTTATAGGCCTTAAACTTCTTTCCTGAACAGGATTGGTCAGCGCCTGGTAATAGAGGCTATTTCGTTTTAAGTGGTATCTTTTAGGGGTCAAATAAAGCTCCAGCCGGCTTTACCCTTCATCATTTTAATTTTGGGACTTCTGCAAACCCTTTGTTTTACATCATTTCTTGTTTTCAGAAGGCGTCACGCGTCACAAAATCAAAGGTCAACGGGAGTTCACATTGTCGATCTTTCTTAATAGTTTCTCATTGCTTTTGAAAACATTAACTGTTCTTTTGGATCAAAAATATTTCGCCAGCAGTGCGAGTGGCGGATCAGATTTTCTTTAGTTATTAGCGTGCAAACGAGATGGTCGAGGAAAGACGTCAGGGGTGGTGTCTATTTGGTACAGCTGAATGCAAACAATGAGCAAATAATATAGGTTATGACAAAACTTTCCTGCTATCCGGCCGACGAAAGAGTCATAAAGGACAGACGACTGGAATAAACATCTCAATAATCGTTGTAATGACAGGATTGCCTGCTGAGATCTTTCGCGTCTTGGGTTCATTGTTGTCGTTTGTATCCTTGCACGTTAGTACACCGTCTTGTTCATTTCCATTCTTTATTACAGAGAAAACCCGTCTTACGGTCACCTCGTTCATACGGCCACATTTTTTTTTTCTTTTGTCCCGGCGAAACGCCCATACAATGTTCGTTTTATCAGAAAACCCAGTTAATGAGGCCACCCCGTTAATTCGACCACATTCGGCCACATTTTGAAATCCCAACGTGTATAGTACTTTAATTATAATTTTACCCCGTTCATACGGCCACTTGAATCAGTTGTATTCATATTTTCATTATTAAAATTTTATCCACCGATTCAAGTTTCAGTTTTATATCTATCTTAATTGTATCTGCATTCCTGATGCTTATTGAAGAGCAGTTGCTTGCAAGTGCAATTGTGATCATGTGTGATATATCTGTTAAGACATCACTCAATTTAGACGAGTCATGAGGTTTGATGCTACTCCATTAGTGTGGCCACCCTGTTATTACGGCCAAATTTTCATGCATGGCCCGTTGGTGACCGTATTAACGGGATTCCACTGTACCTCGTGCATGCAATGTACTTCCGACCACTTCGGTTATAAAGCTTAAGATAATTTTATTCTGATTCAAATGTCTCTTATAAAATTCGGTTGCAGTAAGACACTGGAAACAGATACATTTCAGATGCAAACTGAATTCACAGACAAAAAAAGCATAAACGATACGATTAAGCTTGCCACTATGATTTTGATGCCTGTGACAAGCAAAAAGAAAATAATTTCGGTAGTTGCCTTAGAATATCCACAGAAAACCAAATGATCAAAAAAGCACGATGATGATGATGGTGATCATGATGATGATGATGATGATAAACTAATAGTTTTGGAATATTTTACTGTAATGGTAAAGATTCTAGAGGTTGCCTTCACTCAAATCTTAAACAACTACAGGGGTAGCGCGGTGCGAGATATTCGAACTTCACTTGGTAGATTCAACTAATTTAATGACAGATCAAGTCCATAGATCTAGTTCACAATAGGTAGCGACTGAAGAAATAGCACCAGTAGATCGCAAATAGTGGTAGCAGATACGAATAGGAGTAGTAGTCGTACAAGTAGATGTAGTAGGTTCGAACTGAAAAGCGATAGTTAAGAATACGTCCTACTTAGATAAGGCATAAAATTCAAATCTAACAGGATAGAAAAATCATTATAAAACTAACAAGATCACAGCGTGAAACAAATAGACGTGACAATTGATACTTGCAACTAATAAAACTGAGACGATAACAACTCTTGTTGTCACAAACGAAGATATCAACGGCTATCGCGCAAAATAGCTAAATATGGCGTGAAA